CCCTCCTCAGAGCTAGCATCTCACCCACATCTCCATGAAGCTGATACTTCTCAGCCTACTCTTTTGCTTCCTTCTTTTTTCTTATTGCCTCTACTTCACCTTGCTTAGTGAAAAAAACAACTCTGGTGGTAGGGCTATTGTTGGCAATGTGTTCATATCCATGACACCCAAAGAATTTTCTAACTGGAACTGTGTTGGGCATGTTACTCTTCACAGAATTCTTTCCACTCTAATCAGCTCTGTCATTCCCTTAAACAGCCTTCACAACTCGCCTAGGTGTGTTTTTGTTGATACCTTCATATGTGGGTGGCTTTCTGACTGAAAGTGGGTTCCTTCTTTGCTTTTACCATCTCTCCACATTCAGTGCTAAGGTTTGAACATCACCAACTATCAATACAGTTGTTGCTGGATAACATTGTTAATGCTTGGCATTAGACCTCCCAAGTATCTAGCTATAGTGTTCCCTTCTGGCTCTGTCAGCTCACATTTTAGCATGAGCTGCTCAAACTTTGTTGTAAACTCTTCTATGGACAACTCTCTCTGCTTTAGGTGGTGGAACTTCAAGAACATGTCCTGGTGGTAGTGTAGGTGTAGGTTCTTTTGCATGACCTTTTTCACCTTCTCCCAAGTAGTGATATTGTTCCTATCTTCTTTCTGTCTTACTCTCTTCAGGTTCTCCTACAACAAAGAGGTACTCCTCTTCTACTTTAAGGCAACAAACTTCACTCTCTTATTAGCTGGCACATCCTTGTAATATAAAATCATCTCAACAGTCTGCACCACTCAATGAAGTCATTCATATTCATATTTCTAGAAATATGATAAGTCTACTTTCTCTCCCATGTCTCTGTGCTCTAAAAGTCACTCCATCCCTTGGACTCCTCCGATACTGAATTTGGTAGCATTGTGGCCCGTTCTCTTCTTCAACGGAATCATCCCAATGGAAGGGATTCTTCTCTACCTCTTTGAATCTTCCTATCGTGATTTACTGTAATCTCTCCATGTGTCCCTACCTCAATTTCTTCGAGCTTTTGCTGATGTAGACATATTTTATATTGCATCTCCTCCGTGGCATGACAATAATTTAGGTTTGGAAGGTGAAAGCGAGTTTAGTAGGTTGATATAGGGTGGGACAAATTTTTTAGATGGCTGATTTGAAAATTCAGCGAAGTGGAATGATTTTGGATGGAGTTTGAGTATTGATATATTTTGACAACATTATGATGTTAATAGGGTTGGGCTAGCGCTGATACTAAATGATATTAAAATTTAACAAACATCCAATGGAAGGCAAACGGTATTACTGAATTTAAATATGAAATTACTACCAAAACAACATGGCAATTTGAAATTGCCAAAAAAAAAAAAAAACCAACACATTAGATTTTCGTGGATATAGGGTAGAGGTGTTGTAGGCCTGAGATTTGAAAGGTGGAGACAACATGAATAGAGGGAAAGGAAACATCATGATACTTTTTATGGGTAGGCGGCCTCTAGTATGGAGGGGAGAACATAGTCGGTATTTAGTTTCAGGTAGGCGACAAGTAGTATGGAGGGGGGAGGGTGGCTAGAATGGTTGGGCCGGGAGTTGGAGGCAGCGGCTAAGGATAGACATTAGCTTGGTTGCTGTTCAAGGAGCAACATCAACGGGGCAGCGATAAAGATGAAGTGGGATCAATTTAAGAAAAAGTAGTTGAAAGGTGTAAGAGGATACACACCACCTCAGGTCCGAGATACAGTCGGTGCACTACTCAGAACCCCTGGATACAGTGATTTGAAAGCTTACCGGCCTGATGTACTATTGTTGCTACAATGTCGTGGGAGCTTACCGATCTGCTGTACTGTAGCTACTACAGTACTTCGAGCCAGCCCTTCCCTTCCCCTCTCCTTTCCTATTCCATCCCTTTTCTTTTTCTATCCAATTTCAATTCCTTCCTCTTCTTTTGCTTGCCTTTTCTATCCCCTTACAATTTTAAATTTCTTTCCAATTCCAATTCCTCCCAATTCATTGCCCACATTTTTCTACCAACTTCCACTTCTATCTCAATTTCAAATTCTTTCTATTTCTTTGTGCCAGGATCCTTTATATTATTTTGTGTTTGCCTTGGGTATGGAGGTTTTTGATGATTGATTATTTCAGTTGTTGCATTTGAGGCGTTCTTCCATCTCGGGGGATGTACCCAATAATGAGAATGTGCTTCGGTTGTAACTCTTCCGAGATGGTGACCGTCTCTAAGAGTTCTGGCATTGCTCCTGTTGTAGCTCAACCCTGACGAGATATTTATCCTTCCGCAGTCCCCTCTGACCCGCTTTCAACAGCCACAAACTATATTCTCTGTTGTCGTCCATGCCACCAGCCTCATTCCAGTAGGCGCAAGCCACCTTCCACCCATTTCGCCGCTGTCCAGGCCTCCCAACTCTTTCCTGCTGCCGATAAGCCTTTCCAGGTCAGTTTTTGTTGTCTCCAGCCCTCTAGGGTCTGTTTCAACTAATGCCCAACCCACCGGCACCTGGGGATGTTCAGTCCACCCTCACCTCGTTTAGCTGCTGTCCAACCTCTGGACATCTATTCCTGCCGTCGTCTATTGCTTACTGCTGTCCAGGGCCACTGCAACCTCTCTCCACTCTCTTTACAGCCACCACACAGGTCTCCCTGCCCTTTTCTGTTGCTGACCAGGCCTCCAATCTTCTTCCTCTCACCATTTCCAACACCACCAACAGTTAGCCGTCATCTTCCAGCACTACCTTTGCACCCTTCTAGTCTAGTCGGAGTTGCCGCTCTCCTCTATAGAGAGACATTTATGTGTTTTGTGTTACTTCTTTTCTTATTTTGCACAGTGTTGTCATTGTCTTCTTCATTTGCATGATTGTATTATTTATGTTGAGGTGCGTCGTTGTAAACAATTTGAATTTCATCAATAATATTTGTATTTCCATTATAGTTGTTTATTCCGGTATCATACGGTCTTTAGAAGGGAAATGAGATGCTAACGACTGTTTTGAAACAAACACAACAAAAACTAACCTTAAAGATGCTAACAAAAACAAATAATTAGTCCTAGGACTACTAGGAGTGACCCACTTGAACCGGTTGACATGAGTCAATTTTACGTTCTTTTATTTCTGCATTTACTTGTTATTTTGCCTTATTTATCATGGATTTGCACTTGTGGAAGTTTTTTTTTGATGTTGTACAGGTTTCAGGAGGTCGTACGTTTATTTAAGAGCAAGATAAAATAAGAAAAAAAAAACGGTCAAAAGCGGCGTGACAATGTTTAGAAGGGACAGGACCACGCCACCCTACTGACCCTAGCGGCGTGACCACGCTACCTCTTCAGAGGATGAGCGTAACCACACCTTTCGATCTTGGTGCTTAGCATGACCACGCTGGAATGCAGCGTGACCACGCCGACAGAGCGGGAAATATTTTTGAAAAGATTTTTTTCTTGCTAATCTAAGGATTTGGCTATATAAATGATGCTTTATGACATCTTGATGGAGGCTGGACATTGGGAGACGGCTAGAGCAATAGATTTGAGGGTTAGAGAGCTTCTTCTTTAGGACTGTCTTCCTCTCTTAAGGATGAGGTCGTCAAAGCTGTTCTATCCCTTCCACTTTATATTTTGTTATCTCTTTTAGAGAGGAAATTGTACGGGAGGAGGATTTACTGCTTTGATAGAGGAAATAAATTATTTTGTAAGTTTTTACTTTCTAGTTCTACTTGCAACAATGTTTTCGATGGATTATTTTTTTGGTGTTCTTTTTATCATGAGTATTTGAATTCCCCCTTGCGCCTTTATGATTTATGAATATTGGTTTTTGTGGTTTTCTCAGATGATTTCTTTCTCTGTATCATTTTCCTTAGGAATTTGTGTTCAACTTGTGTTAATCATAGAATTTCATTTGCTCCTGATTTAGCCAATTAGGATGTTAACATATTTCATGATCTGTAATTCCTGCTTGTTGCGTAGAGCAACAAAATAGTTAACCCCAAAATCCGGGTAAGAATAAACATATTCTATTTAGATTTTATACCCTAGAAAGGTGATCTAAACAAATCTGCGAGCTACCATGTGGATTGAAGGAGCATCAAATTTATGGATTTTAGTCTTCTTTTGACTTTTGCATAGGCATAAGAGTACCTCTTACCCCTGTTGATAACTTTTACGTGGGGGAAAGTCTAGGAATACCACAAACCATCACAATACTTGAATCATTGGGGCGCAAACCTCATCCATCTTGATGAATTATAAGATTTTTCTGGTATTGTTTTTTCTGTGTTTTCCAACCTCGCTATTTTTGTTTTTGTTTTTGTATAGGATTTAAAAAACTTTATCTCTTATTTGTGATCACGATGAACTAAATTTAGACGTTTAATAAACTAGAGATTTGCTCTTCAGAATAATTACTTGCTTTTTCCTCTTATGATCGATACGCGGTACTCTTTAATCGCATTATTACTTGACACAGACTTATATGACTTAACGACTTGCTTCACGGTAAGCTTTCCGCCAACTGAGGCGTAGCTAGTGCCTCATTTTACATTACAAATTTTATTTCTCTTATGTTCTTGGAAGCACATGTTTTCCCGTCATAGCCTGTGCAGTTTAGCTAGAACATTCAATATACCTTCTGATATTTTAAGTTGACATAAATTGCTGAAATGATAACTCTGCCATCCTCTATACTTTTCAATTCTCTTTGCTGCCTTTATGTGCTCTGATCTGCCAACATATAGAAATACCATCATATTCCTGCAAAATAATTGAATAGCATGAAAGTGCATTCTCACACCAGATTAGAAATACCATCATATTCCTGCAAAATAATTGAATAGCATGAAAGTGCATTCTCACACCAGATGAGCTGTTACTTTCATTTATCTATTTTTAATCATTGTCCTGCATATATTAGCTCATTTAAGCTAATCCCATCAATAGATCATTGTACTAATACCACATTTGTTTAGCACTATAACTCATTTCGAACTTGTTTTGCAGTTCATAGGAGCTCTAATGGGTGCTAGTGAACTAAACATACAAACTGAAAATGGCCAACTTGGCATGCCTAGCAATATCTGCTGTGTCGTTGTGGAGTATCTTCCTGGGGGGGCACTTAAATCATTTCTTATAAAAAATCGAAGAAGAAAGCTAACTTTCAATGTTGTCATACAGTTGGCGCTTGATCTTGCAAGAGGGTTAGTAAATCGTTAGTTTAAGTTCATTTCTTTCCTGTAAACTGAATTTTTGATTTTGTATTTTAATACAGTTATGTGGGTCAGTATGTCTGAAAGATTCTTTTTCCTTTCCTGCTTAAAAGCAGTTCACACTTGCCACTGCAGGCTAAGCTATCTTCATTCAAAGAAGATTGTGCATAGAGATGTTAAGACTGAGAATATGCTTTTGGATAAGACAAGAACAGTAAAAATTGCTGATTTTGGTGTTGCTCGTATTGAGGCTCAAAATCCTAATGACATGACCGGGGAAACAGGAACTCTGGGTTACATGGCACCCGAGGTATAGCATCTTTAAATGAAACTTCTGCACTTTCCATTCCTTTCAGATCATTAACTTCCTAATTCTGAAATCATTTATGCTGTTCACTTCTTATGCATTACTTTTTGTTGTACCAGTAGTTCACTTTACATTCTCTTTTCTTTCAAACAAAAAATATATTATAATGCGTACACACAACAAGCATTGGAAGAAAATTGCTTTTTGAAAAAGAAAATAAATATATACACCGTTGAACATTACTAGAAAGCAAAGAAGCAAAAGTTCTTTCGATAGAAGGGATTTCTAGGAGTGCTCGGTTAAAATGCGATTGCTTGAAGTCTTGTTCGGCACGGAGAGATGGTAATTTCTTTTTCTATTTTCTTCCTTGCATGAAAACTTTGAAACCTTTTATCCAATAGATATTCTAATTTGGAGAAAATTTCATTCCATATTAAGGGGCTATTTGGTCAGCAGAAAAGAGAGTGCATTGTATTTTACTTGCATTTATTTTAATTTTTTATTTGTTTGGTGTGAAGGAAATACAATGCGGTCCATTACTTTGAGGTTCTCATAATTTGCAAAAACAATACTTTTTTTGTGACTTTAAAATCCCTCATTTCTTTAGAATTTCGAATACACAAGATTTATCTCGCCATTATTGCCCTTGCGAGCTTGCCGCGCCAATGCTTCCCGCGCCAATGCTTCCCGCCACTGCACAACCTCCCAGGAGTGCTTTCTCTCTCGTGATTATCCCTTGCAACTGGTAGCACATCCTACATGCATCCAGGATTTTGCAAGCTTGTGTTTGTCGCGATTGGAATAGTGGGAGCGCGATTTCTCGCTGCATAGTGGGAGCACAATATCTTGCGTTTAGCATATTGCCCCCCCAAGCGTGACTTTCCTCTCCTTTTTGTTTTTCATTCTAAGAACACCCTTTATAGCACCCCCATCACTCTCCTCCCTCCAAATACCATAGTCAGTCGTTGCAACAGCCTCTTCAGCTGTCTGACAAGTAATTGGAGGCCATAGGAGAAAGACAAACCGGTCAAGTGCTTTCAGAGACTTCGATTTGGAGCACTTTGAAGATTCTAACTTTTGTTGAATTTGGGAAGAAAAGGGAGGGATTGATGAAAAGGAAGCCACTTGAATGTGTATGGAGTCAAATTGGGAATCAAAGAAGCAAAATTGGGTAGCAGATACCAATGCCCAACTTGTAATAGGAGCTTCTACTCGTACCAAGCTCTGAGCGGCCACGGTGCTAGTGACAAGAGAATCAGAGCTGCTGCTTCTAGAATTCCAATGCCGATTACAAAATTGATGCCTATGTTGAGCACCTGATGGTGTTGAAGATGGAGGAATCCCATTCTGGCATTTTAAACAAGAGTAGAATTCATGAATTCATTATCTGTGGAAAAATTATGTACAAGTATAGGGATTGGGTGGGTACAAGAGGTCTCATTTATTGTCTGATACAGATGCCGGCAGTTGCAGTAATAAGGTAGGCGTCTTTGATTATGGTAGCAGCTGTGTCACTTGTTAAGGTTCCGGAATTGCTAGTTCTCAATCTCTTAGCTCCTGTTGACAGAGAATCGAGCAATCTGAAGCCATGTTGGATTGGCGAGATTATAAAACATGAGTAGAAAATGATAAATTTTATCTCTAATTGATAAAGAAAAAAGAAGAAGCCTCGGGAGTTCTGTACAAATTTTGTGATATAATTAATGAAGTTGTTATATGAGTGGTTCATTCTTAATTTTTGACGTGCTATGCCTTGACTTTCTACTTAACTAACTCAACCTACGCAAATCTTTTTATTACATGAGCTCATAAGCTAATTAGTGACAAACAATTCTTCGACTAGATATTTTAATTTGCTGGTTTTGACCTTATTAATGACATGAAATTCAATTTTTTTTTTAAATTTTTCTTAACTTTTTACATCAACTAGATTGATACATTTAGCTTTGCTTGATATTATGAATATTTTTTAATGCTTGTTGATATATGGAAAGGATACTGAAGTTAACCGAAATCATAGTAGGAAAAGCAAAAATTATTACTCAATAATGAAATAGAAAATAGCAACTGACACGACACAAACACTCAACATGGGTGGATCCCAGCTGGTAGTGGCGGTCTGTGAAGGTTAGGAAGGTGGTGATGTGGTGGAAAAGATGTTTCACAAGCAAAAATCAGCAAGGCACTGGTTTCCTCGGGGTGGGACATCAATTAGGAAGACAGTGGACGATGCGCGAGTGCTGTCTGGGTTGATGGTAGTAAGGGGGAAGGGTGGAAATGAAGATAACTAGGACATGGACACGGACAAAAGCTTGATTTGTCAGATTTTAGCGGACGTTTTGATTTGGATGAATTCATTGAGTGGATCTAAATAATGGATCAAGTTTTGAGTAAAATGTTATTTTTTGGGATAAATGAGTTAAATTGACAACCATCATGCTTAGAAAGGATGCTTCTTTGTTGGAAACCCTTAAGCATCTTTGATAACAGGAAGGGCATAGTAAGATCATCATATGGTTAAAGGTGAGAAGGGAGATACATAATAAATACTTTCGCTCATATTTTGGACAGTACATTTTCTTTAAAACTCAACAACTTTGAGTCAGAGATTCTTCTGTGGAGGAGTACACTGTTGAATTTGATTAACTCATGTTAATATGTTAGTTTATGGAACTAGAGGAGCGGACTATGGAGAGATATCTTAGGAGATTGAGGTCATCTATCACTAATGTGGTGCATCTAAAACTGTATCAGCTCTTAAATGATATACGTACTCTAGCTTTGAAAGTGGAGAAGTAGTACTATCACTAGATGACTGCTACACCTTCTAGGCAGAGTTCAACTCGAGGATCAAGCAGTAAGAGTAGACCCATGGGACTCCATAAGGTGTCACATCCCAACTGACTCCCTTTTTAATGGTCGGCTGAGGTGTGATTGAAAGTAGTATCAGAGCATAGTTATTGGATTAAGAGAATGATGGAAACGTTTTGATTTAGAATAAGTAATAATGAGATTAGTTATGAGTTAATTTATATGGGGCTATATGTTGATGAATCTAGGAAGAGTAACCCACACGACTTTAGTTATCATGCGTGTTCAATATGGTTTTTATATGATAAATTGTATTTAAATGATAAATTGTGCTAATATAAACAAACATGTTTGGAGAAGAATCAAAAAGTATGGAGGAGCAGTCTGTTAGGCCAAGTGCAGAGCAAGTAACATCTGAAAATGTTTTGAATAAAAATTAAAATCAGATCAGAGCAAACGAGGAAATCTAAGCAACTGAGTTAAGGGGCATAGTGCAATTGATATGACAAGTTAAAAAAATTGACTGTTATTGAAAGATCATCCACCAGTACAGGGCCAATTGTTGAACACGGGGAATAAGGTTGATAGACATTTGAAAATGTTTCAGTTTTCAAGCCACCAACATTTAAGGGTGCTAGTGACTCTACAATTGCTGAAGATCGGCTCCTGAAGTTCAAAAAAATTTTGGACGATATGATTTGTTTTGAAGATCGGAGAGTGATGCTATACACTTTCAAGTTAGGTGAGGCAGAAATATGGAAGCAGATGCAGTATAGAGAAAAGTTGGCTCTGACATCTTTTCCACAAATTCAATGGGATGACTTTGTCTTCAAAGATTGTCTTATTCAGCCAGATTAGCATTGCAAAATAGGTTTTTTAATCTAATTCAAGGGTCCAGGACAGTTATATAATATGAGGCATAATTCACATCTCTTTCTAGAAATGCCCCTCACCATGTCAGCACCCAGGAGGAAAGTGTCACGGAATTCTGCACGGTCTCACAGATCAGTTGATGCCGGCATTGAATAAATTTGAAATCTGTGATTTTGTAGTACTTGTTGAAAAAACTAGAAAAATTGAAAATGAGTTAAACTTTTTCAGTCGAGATGACAACTTCAGGCAAGCAAAAGAAAAGACTTTGGCAAACAAGAAGAATTTCAGAGCAAGAAATTAAATTAGAAGGTAAGCAGAAGTAGCCCCAACCAAAAAATTCAGTTTGTGAAAAATATAGAAAAAGACACTTTGGGCAGTGTTTAATGGGATTAGGAAAGTATTGCAAATCTGGACAACCAAAGCATTCTCATAGGAATTGTCCACAAGGAATAAGAGAGACAACAAATTACAGACAATCCGGGGATAGGGACATCGCAGGAAAATTTTGAAAGGCACTCAGCTCAGTAGAACTCAATTTTTGGGAAAGCCTTTAGTGCAAGCAAATGATAAAACTTTAGAGCGCAGAATTGAACAACCGGTAAAAACACGAGTTTTGGCAGTTATCCCTCAAGAAGTCAAAGAATCTGAGAAAAGTGGTTACACATACGCTCCTAATTCTTAATCAATTTGATCATATTTCTATTTAATTCAGGTGCATTGCATTCTATTATTTCTGATAAGTTTGTTGTCTGTTTACATGTTGATATTATGAATTTTACTCCTATTTTGTGTGTTGCTATTCCCTCGTGAAGTTTTTTTTTACGCCAACAAAAAATGTGTAGTGCATGTTCATTTTTATGATAAGAAATTGCCGGCAAAAATTGAGTAGTGCATTTTGCGGATGAATTTGGTTGGAAAACATTTTGCTACAATTGAATGCTGGAAAACGTTATATCATATGTGATCGAAATATACAATCTTCCCTGAATAGTGCAATAGAAGTTGAATAGTAATTGCGAAGCGGTGAACATGTATTTTTGGCAAACTTAGAAGTATTGAATGAAGCTGTACAAGAATTGAAAAATATTCTAGTGGTTTCGGAATCTCCTGATGTATTTCTTGAAGAATGTCCAAGGCTACCGCTAGAATGAAAAGCTGAATTTGATATTGATGCACAACTGAGAATGTCTGCAATATTCAAATCTCCTTACATGATTGCTTCAAAGGAATTATAAGAATTGAAATGTCAATTGCAAGAAGTGATAAATAAGGGATTTATTAGACCAAGTAATTCACTGTGGAGTGCTCCAGTTTTATTT